CCCCTCACCAAGATCCTGCACGAGTTCCGCGCCTACAGACCCCTCCCCCACCGCGAATTCCTCGCCTACATCAATTCCAAGGCCGCCGAAGTCGACGTTCGCAAGTTCGCAGTCGAAGACACAGAGACCACGGTCCTGCTCCTCAAGACGCTGAACCACGTCCGCAGCTTCCGCTGGCGGCACTGGCTCTTTGCCAGGGAGTATATCATCAAGCGGACGCCGCATCCCACTGCTACAGGTGGTAGTCCCATCGTTACGGTTCGTGCTTTTCCCCTAGTGTATGTGAAAAGAAATCCGGCTGATGTGGGATGTAGTGGCTTCCGAACCAGCTGTCTGCGGTGATGGATCTGATGGTTTCCATCTATGATACTTATCTGGCGCCGCAGAAGGCGGCGGGAGTCGTCTCGAATGGACATCTTGCGTATGATGAGTCGGTGCAGAAACAGGTGGAGCCTATGATGGAAATGGTACGCGATCAGAGGGAGAAGTTGGCGAGGGAGGTCGAGAGGTGGTGCAAGGAGCGGGGTGTTTGATTGTGATGTGATGAGCAATATTCCATTTGTTACACAGCGCAGATGCCAGTTGTGTCTTTTTTGGAGCGGTCGAGCACTGTGCTACAGCTTTGTGCTGTGTAGATGGTGTTACTGAACTCCATCCAATATGATGTCTATTCTGTTCGCTTGAGACCCGCTCTGTTTACGTCTAGAAGATGATCTAATAATACATGTTCCCCAAAGCCCGAAATAGAATACATGTGATACCACAAACGGGTCGTCCCACTCTATGCTATAATTTCAACGCCCCGAGCTCGTCCATAGGCGACCGCATCTGATGATACTTCGTCACAGAATTTAGCGTATATCCGCTGCACTTTCGCTACGCTGTCGTCGGAGCTCCGTGCATCGGCAAAAGCTTTTATCGCGCAGCCGGAGATCCTTGTATATGAGAGATGCACGACCTTGAGGCTGGATAGTGCGCTCATTATAACGGCAGCCACCTTGTCATCAGTACCGGCAATATGCGAAACGTTGAGTTCCTGTAAGTCGCTCAGACTGTCCATACGGACAAGTTCCGAAATCTGGGCACCGGTGATCCGGAAGCAGCTGTCGAGATGGAGGACTTTCAAGGGCGCCTTGGCGATGCTGCAGAAGTGCTGAACGGTGAAGCCTGTGGCCCAAGGCACGTCGCTGAGTATGAGCGTGTGGAGATTCGGGAGCTCAAAGGGTTCCTCGTATGCAAATGGGAATTCCCTTTGGACGAGGGCACCTCCAACGAGCCCTGTGCCTCCACGGATGCGAAGGTATTCGAGGCTAGACGGCAGACCAAATTCGGCTCCAACATACACGCCGCTCAAGTCCAGCCGGCGCAGCCGTGAAAGCTCATTTACGTCAAAACTCAGATGATAAGGGGTGAAAATTCGGGGGTTCCAGCTGAGCCGGAGCTCTTCTAGATTGGGAAGACATGTCGAGAGTCCCTGCTGTATGGCATGTCAGTCATTGCACTACGCGGAAAAGACAGGAAGGCAACGTAGGCCATACCTTTGGAAGATCAAGAGCAGAAGCCTGCACGTCCGGTGCAGAAGCGGCGACCATGGCACCAAGAGTGATACTTTTGAGACTCGGAAGTTTCTCCGGCCACTCTACCCGGGCCAAGTTGGATGGCTTGGCATCATGAACTTCGAGTCGCTCCAAAAGAGGCAAAGCCTGAAGGAATTTGCCAATGGCCTCCTGCGGTACAGATGTGTAGCCAGATATGATCAAAGTTTTCAATCGTTTGGAGCTCTTGTACAGGTCGTAGAGGACGTCGGACTTGGACTGAGCCCATATCTCAAGATGCTCTAGGTTCGGGCACCTGCTGAAGAATTCCAAGACCCTGTGCGTAGACGGCGTGGAGATATTTTTGACAACGGCATGTGTGAGCATGGCTTTTGATCGACGGATGTACGCCCGGACTGAAGGCCAGTGAACTTTGCCCCGAGCATCCGACAGATCGATACGCATCCAAAGTCTTCGTATGGACGACAGAAATTGATCCCACTTTTTTGATACGCGGAGAATAGCCCTGGGAAAGAAGTAGTCAGAGCCGTGCCATAGAGTATGCGCCTTGGCCAACTCACACAAGCTGCTTGAAGTCGAAATGATTGACGATCATGATTGCTACTTCCAATGGCAACACGCTGAACGGATCATGGCACTTTGCATGTACTTTACTCCATAACTTGTCATGAAGTTGCTCTACAAGCTACGCAACAGTCAGTACGTCGGTAGCTCGAGTAAGGCATGGGGTTAGGTGAAAAGATGACCGACCTGACGACGAGGGTTGCATGCCGGCAAAGTCTTTAGGGCGTAAGCATAGACGTCGAGGGCCTTGTCAGGCTTACCATCCGACAGCAGGACCTTTGCACATCGAAGATATCCCTGTCAACAGTCAATAGGGGTGCGTTTGGACATCTACAATGTGAAGTTTGCGATCCCTACCCGAGCGTCTAGCTTGTCAGTCTTTATCATGGCCCTGGCATCCCGCAGGGCCAGGTCATACTTGGCTAGCTTGGTATAGGTGGCAGCACGGTTATCATAAATACAGACGACATCGCCGTGGCCGGTTTTCAGAGTCTGGTACAACAATCGGAAGTTTTAACAACATCAATCGTATAAAACTCGAGACACACGGCTCTCGTGCAGTGATGATTTACCTCTGTGAAGGCCTCGAGGGCAGCCTGAAAATTGCCTTGCTGATATAGCTTCTGGCCGTTTTGCTGCAATAATGCGGCGGCTTCACTCAGGCCACTATCTATTGACGAAGATCTCAGCCTCTGAACACAAAGATCATCATCGTTCTTAGTAGATTCATCCCAGTACTCATCAAATAGGGATAATCAGACTGAACGACCTTGACAGCAACGTCACAAAAAACGACTTACCTCGAGAAACGACCATCTTTCCACTAAAATCCACTTCCCACACCGCCTGACGCGGAAGAGAGAAACGCGAATCAACCTGGCAACCGAAAGTGCGCGTGGGCATTTTCGAGTCCGCTGCGCTTGTGGTCTGCATGGACAGCCCCAGTGACGGCGGTGTTTACTTTCTTCCCCTTTTGGAATGATCCCTGCACATTGAAAAATAACGGTTGTCGTTGATAATAATAATCAACCACTACGGCGCCATCGTCGCTGGCTCCAAAGATTTGATAAAGCTTGCAGGTCAAGCCATGGAGCCACATAATTTACAGGCGGCATCAACTTACATTAATAATGTGCTTCTTGCTCGGGGTCTGCTCAAAAGTGGCAGAGCGATCGACTTCGCTCAACCGGAGAATGACGATGGAGGAATCGATGGTACAATGGCAAGAATCATCAACTTGGTTAATGATTTGGTCTTGAGAAGAGATGTATGTGAATTGGGAGTCCATCTTTTACTCGAGCTGTGCGTCTGACCAGCGTCAACAGCGGGAAGCAGAGCATCGGGAGAACCTCGCCACCACGATTCGGACATTGCGCGCCGAGGACTCACAGAAGATGCTTGAGATTGTATGTTGGGCTTGTATCAATGCCCCGAGAGCAACGGCTAAAGTTATTTGCAGGAAAAATTGAAAACGAAGACGTCCGAATTGGCCCGGTCGCTGGCTCTGTCGGAAGCCCAAGAACGTGCCCTGAAAACGAACCTGTCCAGCACCGATGCGACGATTAGAGGACTCAAAGAGCAGATACAACGCATGAAGATCGCTGTACAACAAGTCCGCGCACAATGCGCCAATGACATCCGCAAGCGCGACTTGGAAATGCAGAAGCTGAAATCGCACTTGGCTGAGCGACAGAGAGGAAGACGGGAAGGACTGGGCGTGACGACAATCAACATCAACCCCGCGGTCGATCGAACGTCCAAATCAAGGTCTCTTGCCGGTGGAGAAGGAGTCAATGATCCCGGGTACAGCTTGAAGCAGGAAACGAACGAATTTTTGACGGAATTGTTGCAGAGCTTGAGCGACGAGAACGATACGCTGATTGCGCTTGCGCGCAATACTGTTCAAACTCTGCGAGATCTACAAGGGTTGTCGCAGATGGAGGAAGAGGACGAGCAGTACTCAAACGCATCGGCAAGCACACGGGGCATGAGGTCGTCGCATGGACCTGTCACTACACTTCCTTCATCCTGCGAGAAGCTATCGGGTCAAATGGACAGAGTGCTCGAGCACCTGAGGACATTGCTCACTAACCCATCCTTTGTACCTCTGGAAGAGGTCGAAGTCCGCGATGACGAAATCAAGCGTCTACGAGAAGGATGGGAGAAAATGGAGACTCGATGGAAACAGGCCGTTACCCTCATGGACGGCTGGCACAAGAGAATTGCCGACGGAGGTGACTCGGTGCGAGCAGAGGAACTCAGGCTGGGGTTGAAGCTCGACCTCAGCGTCGACTCGATGCAAACATCCACGGCAGATGGTGGGGTCGACACAACCATGCAGTCTCCCATATATGAAGACCAACAGGCGGAGGAAGAGGCGGAGGCCGCAGTCAAGGTGGCCAAGTATAATACAGAGCGAGACGAGACTGGCGACACTACCACCGGCAAACTAGCCTCGCCACGTGAACGGAAATCTCGCAGACCTACCAGTCGTGCTCTGAAGGAGCGCAGCGATAACATCATGTCTGGGCGATCGCCTCGGAAAGTGTCCTTTACACCTGGACTGCAAGGCTCGCCTTGTGTAGCGACTGGCCAGGAAGACGAGACATTGGAGGTCAAAGCTCACAAATCCGAGGCTGTGACTCGGAGGCCATCAAAGAAAAAGGTAGACCCCAAGACGTCGCGTCAGGTAAGGGCCAAGAACCAAGTGATATCAGAAGCAGTCGAGGTCTGACTTGATGGCAACAGGGTCCCGAGAACGAGACACAATTGAGCGTATCGCAGAAGCTAGCAGCTGCCGAAAGCGAAGCGCGAGCCGCAGAAGACGCTCGCAAGGAGTCAGAAAGCCGAAAGAGAACTCGAGGGGTGATAAGCTCCAAGAAAGGGACTCGTGACCGACGGAGAAGCACATTGACCAGCGACGAGCTCGGAGAGCTGATGGGCATGCCGTCGCGATGATGGAATCGATGCTCTTGTTTGGAATATATCTATCTGGCGTACGGTTTTGTTTGATACCCCCAAGCAGTTTATCTGTACATACATTCGTTTTTGCACGCCTACGTACCGAGGGCAGGATTCTTATGATACGTGGCGCATGTAATCGCTACCACTCTGGACTGTTCTGGCAGAGGGACCATCTACTGTCAATTATAATTAATTCTATAATTTGCGCTTTGCAAGTTTAGTTTGGAGGAGAATGCCAGAGGGCACACTAGGGAGATCCTTCGGCAGCTTCATCTTGTGCCCATAAAGCTTCCCCACAACCTCGGCAACTTGAGCTTCGAACCGCAATCAGTCAATCTCCGCATTATTTATTGCTCGAGCGCTCGCTCCAGAAACATCAGATTAACAACCGCAGGAGGAGTTGAACAATCTTTGCTGTAACTCTGTCTGGCATCTCCTTCCTCCACTTTGAAGCATCAACCCTTTGCATCTCAGACTCCAACACCCTACGAAACCATTCGGATACTATATATATACACACGACATCCAACCTTTTGGTCCATACTGAAGAGACCATATCATATCCAATTGAATCATGTCCTCATCATCGTCAGAAACATTCCATGGCTGGGTCGCCCGTGACGCCACCAGCCCTCTAATTTTCACCACCTTCGAACCCAAACCCTTCACAGAAACCGACATTGAAGTCAAAGTCTCCCACTGCGGCATCTGCGGGACAGACATCCACACGCTCCGCTCGGGCTGGGGCCCTGCCGACTACCCCTGCGTAGTCGGCCACGAGATAATCGGCACAGTCGTCCGCATCGGCAGCGGCGTCCCAACCCTCGCCTCCTCGCCAGCCTCCCGAGAGATCAAAGTCGGCGACCGCGTCGGCGTAGGCGCACAGAGCATGTCATGTCTCCGCGCAGACTGCGAGGCCTGCGCAGACGGCCGCGAGAACTACTGCGCCCGCATGACGGGCACCTACAACAGTCGGTACGCGGACAAGAGCAAAGCCTACGGCGGGTTCGCGGAGTACTGGCGCGGGCCCGCGCACTTCGCGTTCAAGATCCCCGAGGCTCTCCCCTCCGCCGCGGCGGCGCCGTTGCTGTGCGGTGGCGTGACTGTTTTCGCGCCGCTGTTGAAATATGCCGCTGGGCCGGGGATGTCGGTTGGGATTGTCGGGATCGGGGGCCTAGGTCATATGGGGATTTTGTTTGCCAAGGCGATGGGCTGCGATCGGGTCGTTGCTATCTCGCGGACGTCGAGCAAGCGCAGGGATGCGGTGGAGGGGTTCGGGGCGGATGCGTTCATCGCCACGGACGAGGAGAAGAAATGGGCGCGGACGCATGCGCGCTCCCTCGATCTGATCATTTGCACCGTTGACGCGCCGGATATGCCTCTTGCGCAGTATCTGCGTCTGCTCAAGGTGGATGGGACGTTCGTTCAGGTCGGAGCGCCCGAGTCGCCGCTCCCGCCGTTGACGGCTTGGTCGTTGATCCAGAAGGGGGTTAAAGTGACGGGCTCGAATATTGGTTCTCCCGATGATATTCGGAAAATGCTGCAGCTGGCCGCGGAGAAGAATGTGTTGCCGTGGATTCAGCAGCGGCCGATGCACGATATCAATGTCGCTCTGGCTGATATGGATGCTAACAGAGCGAGATACCGGTATGTCCTGTCGAACGAGATGGGAGCGCACTCGAAATTGTAGATGAATCGGGTTCTAGTACAATTTAGCGGATAATGATTAACCTTCCTGTATCCACAAAAAGCAATTCCATATCCACTTGTTCGGATGGTTGATACATGGTTCGGGGGGATAAGATCGCGACGGAGATTAGGGGCCTCTCTGCTTTGTGACTTCAGATCAAAGGTTGCTTATCCTTGTAGAGTAAGAAATACGAAAGTCTGCGGTAAACGAGATAGTTGCCATGGGGCAGGACATCTTGGCATCGAGAAAAGCTCATCACGATTACCGGAAGAGGGAATTAGTACGAGATATACGAAGAATCCAGTCGCTCCATGGTCATACAAACCGGGAGGGGTTCACGACGTTGGCCTTGGGATGGGCTAAATTTATCGAATTTGAAGTTCATTGAGGAGGCGACTATTATAGGTATATAAGGTGCAGATATCTTCTTTTGAGGTATGGATCCGACAGAATTGACTACCTCCTTTGCTATATTACCACCATGTTGTTAAGGCGTGCATATGAAGGCTGGGTAGCCTACGAGTACTATCCCTCCATGGCAGCAGGAGTGATATTCGTCATCCTCTTCGCCATTGTCACTCTGTTACACACGTTTCATCTCTTCCGAACAAGAACATGGTTTTTTATTCCTTTGGTCATAGGAGGTTACTGTAAGTTATGGATCTGCTTCCGCGGGATGAATCTCACTGGACTGAATGTCTGACTTTGATCAAGTCGAATTGATAGGATACATTGGACGCTGCCTGTCAGCATCCCAATCCCCAAACTGGACGCTTGGTCCGTACATCATGCAGAGCACATTGCTGCTGGTAGCGCCTGCACTGTTTGCTGCCAGCATCTACATGGAATTGGGTCGAATCATCCTCCTCGTCAAAGGAGAGAAGTTCGCAATTATTCGGGTAACCTGGATGACCAAGATATTTGTTGCGGGAGACATTCTCAGCTTCTTGATGCAAGCGTCAGGTGCGTTTTCCGGCGATTTATGTCCTCAGACGAGAGCCAAACACTGATAATCCGCTTCATGATAGGGGCGGGGATCTTGGTCACGCACAACCAAAGCACAGGCGAAAATGTTATCGTTGGCGGTCTCTTTGTCCAGATCATCTTTTTCGGTTTCTTTGTGATAAGCGCTTTCGTCTTCCAGCGTCGGATCGCTGCCCATTCAACCCCAGAGTCCGTTTCCGAGTACATTCCATGGAAGAAACATATGGGCGCGCTATATGCATCGAGTATCCTGATCTTGGTTCGGTCCGTGTTTCGAGTTGCCGAATATCTTCAAGGCTGGGACGGTTCATTGCTGCAGAGCGAAGTGTTCATATACGTACTTGATGGGCTGCTGATGTGGTTCGTGATGGCTATCTTTCTGGTTGTCCACCCGAGCGAAATCAACTGTCTTTTGGGTCGCGGGAAATTCATGACAGCCAAAGGGGGTCTCCAAGTCTGTGAGGCTGCTTTTCCTGTTTAGCACACTGAGGACCTCCAGCCATCCCGTGATGACACTTCATGAACTACCTGTTTGTTCGATTCTATACCGCCGTGTCGTTATCATTCAGAGTTGGCATTTTGCTAGAGCGGCGATTTTCTAGAGTTCTTGCTTTGCTTTGTCTTTTGCGAACAATCTCATCACATGCAGATTTATTCGCTTGCGGACGGGGCTGTAAATGCCAAACTGCTGATAGAATCATGCTTTCAACCCTGATACCTCAGGTTAAATTCGGCTCGAATGCCTGGCCAAAGATATCTCTCATAGGCCAATATATCAAAGGGCGCCAACGCTCATCTAGAACAAGCCAGAGGGCCTTTGAAACCCGGGGACCCCACTCGTCGAGACACCAATTGTGTCGGAGACGATGGAGAATTGCGCAGTAGTATGCCAAAATGACCAGGGCTAGGGGCTTACGCTCCCGCAGACAATCCACGTATTTTGGTTTCAGCCTGATCGCCCACCTGCAGGCGACAGCAATGGAGGTTAGACCGCTATACACCGCGCCCGTCATGTCTGCCCATTTGTCAATGGTATCCTCATAAACAGACGTATCATGCGTGGAGTCCGTCTCCCCAATCGACTTGTTTGCGTCTTGGAGCTTTCCTAAAGCGAAGAGTATGTCATCGGGGAGGATGACTTCGTATTCGTCAAACTGTACAATTGGTCCAAAATCGCTGTCCGTTATCGAAGATGATGCGGTGCTCAGCACCTGGTGCACGCCCCGCGACAGTATAAGCACCTGAAGCAGATCGTCGATGTAGTCCCATGAGTCTTTCGCATCTGGCGGATGAGGATAGCCAAATGCGTAGACAGCCACAATGCTTGCAAACGCAAACATGGCTTTGGCATTGCAGGGGTTAATGTCATGTAGCCGTTCACGAAACAAGGTCAATGCTTGGTCCTGATGCGCGACAGCAATGCTGACGTAGTCAGCACGACGATGGACAGCCCTTGTCCGCGCGATATGAAGTGCAGAGATAGCTAGTATCCCATGCATGAGAAACGGGTATGACAGCGCCTCTTCAGGGACACAGGCGCGCCAAATGCGGTCTGTTTGCTCGTTGCGAGAAAAGGACCTATAGGTCTCATTGCACCACTGCATCATCAATTCTAGATCACACAGATTCAGGCCGGTAAGTGAATACTGAGTTGCCGTGCCGTGTCCGCCCAGCTTCCCTAGAATGCCAAAGGAGATGGCCGTGTCGTGGAGCGACTCTTGCTCCTGAGGTCCCTCGGAGGCAGATTTGTTTGACCTCGTGCGGGACTGCGACCTCCCATTTGCCCACAGAAATGAGCCGCTGGAGTCGTATTCGCATTGTGTCCTGCGTTTGACGCAGTTGGAGCATGCTGGGCGAGCTTCATCGCACTGAGCGTCGTTAGCGATATTTGCAAAAAGTTCAGCTAAGTGGTGTGCGTGTCTCGTACTTTGACCCTGCGTCGTTTGCACTCTACACAGCCATGTCTTGATTTGCGATGAGGTCTTCGAAGAGCCATCTCTCGGAGGGCACTCTGTGCATAGTGTTGGCAGTTTGTACATCGAAAGAGCGTCCCACATTAGGCAACACAAAAGAAGTCCACAGCTGATTATGTCATCCAACCTTAACGCATCTTCAACTGGGCTGATTTACTCCGTACTAGTAGTGTTCACCTTTTTCTTTTTCGATTTCTCTGAGATTAAGAAACAATTTCCATCATTCGAAATGCACAGCTGAATCCATAAGTAACAAAATGGGATTCCATTGAATATGCAGCATATATGGTATCTGGACTCAGGGCTAAAAGAAGAGAAGAAAGACACCGCAGCGACGAATATGTGAAGAGAAACAGAATCACCTTTTCCCATGCAAGCATTTCAATATACGTAGCTAACCACCGCCGCCGCCGCCGCCTCCTCCTCCTGAGGATGCGCTACTGTCTCGTCGCCGTTGTTTCTCATACAGAGCAACGGCAGTGATGATGACCATTAGGTCGAATTCCTGCCCATAATTTGCATAGATCTCAAGCTTTCCAGACTTCTTATAGCCCCAAAAGTTGCTCGTAAACACGGCAATGAGCCGATCAGTCGCCTCATCAACAAGCTTGTAGTTGCGCCAGGAAAAGATCGAAGGCTTTGTATCCCCAACTCCTACCGAATGTGTGCTCTTCCAAATGAATGACCGCCGTTCTACCCCATGTTCGGAGTGGAGGAAGATCTGAAACCGATATCTTGCATGAAGGTGACTGAGACACACGAGATCTTCCCAGTTGACTGAATTTGGTGTTTCAGGATTTCCAATCCCGACTTTGAGATGCCTGGAGAAATGCAAGAATTTGCAGACTGCCAGTACAGGTGCTTGTGTACTAGTGCCGGCATGGATACTGAGATCGGGTTTCTTCGGTGTCCACGTCGAATTGTGGACATGGTATAGCTGTTCCTTGTCGGCATTGTGAACGCTATAATCATGGCGGAAGAGTGTGTTATATATATGATAAAGGTGGCAGGAACTGCCTCTGTTCGAAGGAACCGGGCAAAGAGTGTTGCTCTCAGTCATTGTGGTCTGATAAGTACTGGACGAATCCACGAGAACGGCATCATCGGCGCCATAGGTGTCTTTGGAGCGACTCATTTCCGCCGACGTTAGAATCCTGGGAGGAGTAAGATGAAATCAGAAGCCAACTTCTGAATCATCCAGGAAGCAGGGAAGACCTGGCATCTTTATAGTCTGCTGATTAGTGAATTCAGGCGTTTTGAGGAATATGTTCACTGCGTAGCAAGGCTTGGTATCCACTATTCATGCTCGATCTGTAGGATAGTTTCTGTTTCTGGTTAACCCAAGGGAAACGATGCCCATGATGCCCAGTTGATCGCCCGACATGACAGCAATACGAGCCTTTTCCATGGCTTGTTTCAGGGCTGAGCTGTATATCAACCAATCACAATACGCAGAGAATACGATCAGCCCCAAAGCGGCTAGTCCAATCACGGATTGAAAGAACAGCCAATCATATGTCAATCGGAGTCCAACAGCTTACACGTGACTATGCGTCAGTCACCTGATATCACATGATATGGTAGCTGGACGCCAAGACCAGCGCGCGTCAATCAATCAATGGTGAAGAAGAAGAAGAACTGCAAAGTGTTGGTGGTAAGGTGATGACCGCTGCTGATTTATTTCCTCCTCAGCTTGTTCTTCAGTCTGCCACCTGACTGGCAGCTGCTGCGCATCTATTCCCCAGCATTTTCCCAAAGGAATTGCTTGTTACCAGCTGGGATAGCAATAGGAACCTCAAGAGAGATTTCTTTGCTCCAGTGCTCAGCGTCGCTAGTGTTTGGTACCGTTTCTAAAAAGTGCCACTACTCCTCATTCTCCATATCAAATCAGTACCTCCACGACCACCAATATGAGCTTCCAGGTACCTTATGGATCGAGTCCGTCGACTCCAGACAAATCTCGGAGCTTTTTAAGCGATATCTCGGCGACTCCTGCAGACGCTCCGCCTTCCACAGCCAAGTCCTTCACTCCTCGAGGCCCTCCTCCATCAACCATATACGGAAGCTCTCAGATGAGCTCGAGATCGCAACTGGATTCTCCTCAGTCCCTTTTCACCAAATCCGGAGGGGTCGATTTCAATGACAGCATCTTCAATTCCTCAATTGGATCCTTCAATCAGCCAGCGCCCCGGGCCAAACATGCTGGATCAGGGAAATCCTTCGCGCCGTCGCAGTCTCTTTTCAGTATGACGAACAATACTCGATTCGGCGAGTCAACTGGTTTCGGAATCTCTAATGACTTTACTTCGCGAATGGGTGCAGAGGCTAACGACGACGGTGAAGAGGACGAGCAGATGATACCCGAGGAGGAAGAGGATGCTCAGGAGGAGGATGAAATGGACATGGGCAACGCCACTGCAACGTCCGGACACCGATTGAGCTTCTTAGACTCGCAGTTTGGCAATTCAACACAAGCACAGTCTGCGTCGCATGGTCAACGAAAGCCAATATACTCAAACCCAGGCAATGCAAAACGACCGAAGCTTGACGAAAGATGGGCCCACCAATCGCCGTTGCGCAAAGGTAAACTGTCTCCAAAGAAGGACTCTGCGATGCCTTCGATCGTACGGAACTTCGCCTCCAGAGCCGGGCTGGCGGCGGTCAAAGAGCCAAGCCACGTAATCATCAGCACCGAGGACGAAATTTGTCGCATGTACGACGAAGCGAGACAATCTGAATTTACGAACAGAGACTTTCAAATTATTCTCTCAGAGGTCTGCAGCAGGCTTACAGACTCATGGAAGCCATCCATGGAGGGAAGCGGCGTTCCCAGAGCACCTGGCGCAGGGACTGACATTGGACCTGGGGATCGAGCTTCTGATGTTGCCAAGGCCAGCTTTCTCGGCTCTTTACTGCTTCAACTCCATCACCCGCCTCTGTCGGCCCCTAAGCAAGGAAGTCTCAACAATAATCTAGGGTTTGCGGCTCCCCGGAGTCTAGTACTCGCGGGCTCGAAACCGGATACACCTACGCCAATACCCAAGGTTCTTTTGGACTGGCTTGAAGCCTATCATTCTTCTCAGCCCGACGACCTGCAAGCTTTGAAGGAAGTTGAACCTAACCCCACCGCGTCTTCCAATTTCTGGGAGATTGTCAACGCATCGGTGCTACGTGGGCGCTTCTCGGAGGCGGCAGACATACTGCGATCGGCTGACTTCAATTATGCCAGGTCAGCTTTGGAGGATGGCTTACCAGAATCAGGCTATCGTGGAGCACAGCTGCAAAATATCCAAAGATGTATCAATAAGGCTCTCCAAATTTTAGAGTCATCTCCCAGTATCCAGTACGATGACTGGGATGTCAAAGGCACCGAATGGGCGTTGTACAGGAAACGTGTCATGGCTGCCGTAACAGATCTAGAGGAATTTGCGGAAGGAGGAGAGCAGCAATCGGTCGAGCCTCCGGTCACGGATAATCGCTTTCAGGCAATTAACTTTGGGCTGAAGCCTAGTCCAGCAAAAGCAGACTTTTCTTTTACCAAATCTGCGCGCATGGCAGAGAGCCGTGTGCCTTGGACGATCTATCAAAGTTTGAGATCTTTGTATCGCATCATACTCGGTGATGCCAACACCATTCTGAACCTCGCGCAAGACTGGATCGAGGCTACCATTGCGCTTACGGTTTGGTGGGACGGCGAGGATGCCGAGGAGGTGGCGCAGGAGAATGGCGATGCCCTCCGCACCGGCATGTTCAGATCGCAGGCTTTCCGCGGTGTCAACGAAGACCCTGTGAATGCCTATCTTCGGCGCCTGGATCTTGCATTCCGTAGCGCTATCAATGAGGAAATGGCAGACTCTAGTTTCAGGGTCAATCCACTAAGTAGTCTCGAGGTTGGCCTGGCGTCCGTTTTCGAGGGCAACGTTGACGGTGTGCTTGAGTTGATTCAAACATGGTCTTTGTGTATTGCCTCTGCAGTGACTGAGGTCGCTTCGCTTGGTGGTTGGCTCGATACGGAGAGAGGAGCGAAGCCGCTGCCGGGTCTCAGTGAGAATGACCTGATGGTCCTCTCATACGGTCAGAACGGCAATGGGCCGAGCAAACGAGTTCGCAAGGATGATGTTCTAAGCAGTTACGCGCGCGGCTTGTTCGAACGGCGTACGATTGAGCACGCGTCCGGCGTTCGCGATGGCTGGGAGCTTGCTCTGGAAGTTGTGAGCCGTCTAGATGACGCGGAGAAATTGCAGAAGAGTGTTTCGGAATTACTTGAAAAGCTTCCTCTGGACAATGTTGAGCAATTAGACAAAGTGGTATTGCTTTGTTCCGAGCTTGGTTTGGACAAGGAAGGAAGGAGAGTATCTGAGGTACGCCCTTGTTCAAGTCTCACCCTTGTTGTCTTTCTTGAATTTGAAACTGAACATTTGGCAGCGATTTGGTGATCAAACGGTGGAAAAATCTGATGAGTACGGACTCGCGTTGGTGTGTTACGCTCGTGCACACAGCCGTCGGAAGGTGAAGTCGGTTGTCGACCTACTCATTTCGTACAGCCTGGTTCAATCGCGGGCATATCCCGCATCTGCAGATCTCGATGAGCAGCTTGAGGCATTGATCAGAGATTCAAAGACCTGCCTTTCAGCGATTGCGGCTTCCGACGAGGACGCTGCAAGCATTCTCCAATTTTATTTCAGCGGATATGCCACTCTACGTCGGTTTTATGAGATACGGGATGAAGCGATCGGGCTCAAGGAGGGACAGCGGCCTCGGTTCAAGCCCTTAGCCAGACGTAGGGCAGCAGCACAGGCTCTGGTTGCAGTAATCAGTAGCGCCGCAGATAGTATCTACGGTGGACTCTATGATCCTGCTCGTGACTCTGCGGTGCAAGTGGATGGGCTTCTTACGCTCTTGGGAGAGGCGCTGGCATTTATTGATCGTAAGTTATAGTTGTTTCTGACGCACGACCTTCACAGGCTGACCTTGTGATAGAAAACACCCCGGTTCTTTCGGTGTCTCAACAGTTCACTCTTCTCTCTGCCATTGAAGATCTGGAAACGGTCACGCCCCGCGTCTATGCTCAATGCGAAGAGTGTTTCCGCTCCACACTCATCGAGTATCACTCCTCTGAGCGTGCATCGTCCGGCGGTCGATCCTCTGCCGAATCCTACGTTCTTCCGCCATCTCCACGGGCACTTCTGAAGAAATCTGTATCTTCGCTCGCCGCATCCAGCACATTTTCCTTTATTGGCAGTGATATGATCGAGAGTGCTCGGCACCGAGCCATGTCTGGCTCTGGATCTGTGACCAGCTCAGCTGTGTTCGTTCCTCGTCCCGGGGATGGAGCCCAAACGGGATCTCACGAACGCGGATGGGACTGGCGAGCTGCTTTGCCGGAGGATATCAAGGGAGAGGAAGTTCTCAAGATGTTACGTTTGGGATTAGCACGAGGGTTGAGTTTCGGTGCGCTGGGGTCTGTTTATTAGAGGCGGCTTGTTCAGTGTTCTTCTTATCTAGCATGTACGTGTAGGTGTATCTGTGGGATCCCTATTATTTCATTTCTTTCAACCTGACGTTCATAACGATCAATCTCATGGCAACGACAGTACCTGGATAGTCAGGACTATTAGAGTGGAAAAGCATTGAATTTCCCAGGCATCAATAGCAATAACCTGGCCACAACAACAACTTTCCATTCCACAAACCATCACTGGCTCGGGCATGAAACCATCACTCCATGAGCTCTTTCCATCGTCATCGTGGCTTACCATTGATTATCGAAAATTCAGACTGACCTTGGAACAATCGGATGATATTCCTGACGAAGTGCTTTCGGGTACCTCTTGTTCCGGTTCATTACCAGTATGCAAGGCACCTAAAACTGACGTCCTTAGTATGCGATCTTCTGCTAACACCGAGTCTACCCATAGTCAATGATGATCTCTTCGAATATTGGCCTCTAAGGGGGCGCTATGGACCCGTCTTTAAGATACAGGCCAAGCTATACATCGCTTCGGTGTCAACGTCAGGATCAATGAATAGCGGTCTGGATCTCGGCACAATGAGCCCGAAGAGAAGCGCTGAAACGACAACCAGCTGACTGAGGATGAGGTTATGCAGCATTATCTCGAAAGAGTGGGGGGTCTGCACACGCCGCTATGCGTTCTGCACCTCGGAAAAGCCTCCGGGTATAGAGCACTGCTGAAGAAGGATTCAGATTTCCAAGATGATTCTACTGAGTTCTAGCTTACCAGGCCACTAATTCGGTCATTGAAACACTGCCTAGAGTCCTGGACTGGCGGAATCGCAACTCCAGCTGATTGGATGATGTCACTTGCTGGAGGATGAGTCAGGTCAGATCATGTGGGGGTTTTCAACGGTTCAGCCTTTCGATTGGGATAATTACCCCCCACCGTTTCCTCGGGTCAGCCTTGCGGGTTATTCTTGTCTCTTGAGACTGCTGCAAGGGCCAAGAGGAGCAAATCACGACGTTGTACTCCGTGGAGGTCGGACATCCCTGAGGCTAGTCGCATCTGGCGGGCAGTGGTCTGTGACTCAATAGACAGGGCTGAGGGAGAAGCACTTGATTTGTCCAGACTCGTACCAATTCTTCAAGCTCATGCATCATCCTGCATGGCCCTGCTCACCGATAGTTCTGCTAATATCGAGGCTCAACTGCAAGCTGAACCTGCGGAGTCCCTTTTGGTCACTATGTCATCAATCCATTTCTTGCACCACCTCGAGCAAATCTACCAACCAGGAAAAAAGGAAGATATTTTTGTGAAGTGCAATGGCTAACGGAGTGACTAACTCGATGAGTCTTCAGCAGAACAAAAAATAGAACGGTTGAGGGCGTTTACTGGCTACTCGATCATTCCAAGTAGAAATAACTCCAACCTATCTCAATAGCGATGACCCAATAGGGCCTAAGGCCTCCATTATCCATGGCACCATGAGCTGAAAACCCCTGCAAGCACGAGGCGTGCTTGGAGACAGACCAATGATGATGGCACTAAGGAGGGCCCAGCTCCGCTTGAAGCAACCTTGAGGGTTTTTAGACCCCCTAGCCTTCAACGGTTCCGTCAAGGTGGATATCCAAAACATGGAACTCGGCATCAGCTGTCATCGCCATCGGTACAACGTTCTGCGACATCGCCAACCAGTTCGACTGTTTTGCAGGACTAATGCTCTGGGAATGTCACTAGCCAAGTGCCAACCTTCAGCCGATGGAACCCCACTGATCAACTACGGGCTCGGTCTTGTCCGCGAGACTGACCTGCGGAAAGTCGGATATGGTCTGGTGTCGATCGTGCCCAGTTACCTAGTCCTGAGTTTCCCTTTCAATCTTCGTTTTCTTTGCGATTCACCAATTGTCTTCTCGGGCTAGAACGATATTCAGGACAACTGAAAAGAGTCACGGCTAAGACCTGGATGGATGCCTTGCATCAAATTCGGGTCGTACTTGCTTCGGGTTTCTCGCAGTTGAATAGCCTATGCAGCCTTGATGAAAGCCGGCTTCCCATTCCGTCCTATTTTTGACCATTGTCATGACATTCATGGGGTTGCCTGAGTTCTTCAACTTCATATAAATAATCTCTTCCCAACGGAGCCAACCTTTGCTTGTCCTTGGATGGCATCGACAGACTCCAATACATTGAATCTTTCTTTGTCTTCTTTCTTTTAAAGCATTCGTTCAACAGCACTTTCTCCTTTCGGCAACTGTCTACGCTGGACGTCGTTATCCAACCGACCCACCTACAGAACACTGTATCGCGACCTATCAAAATGTGCTACCAGCTCGTGGAACGTTATTCGGTGTGTGGGTGTCTTTACTTTCAACACGCGGTTGACCCGTGTCAAGCATATGCTCAGCGAGGCCACACCGTGCAAGTGAAGACGGTGTTGGTCGGATACGCCTGTGATAAACATTCTGCGAGACGGAATGGACCTACTGGCGGCAATCGTCCTGCGACGGGTTACTCCAAGGGATATTGATTATCCTTCGAGAGGATGAAACATACTGTGGTTCTTCATCTGGGTACCCCCCAGAGCAACTTGCGTTGAACGCAATGCTAGTTTCAATAGCCTCTCTTCTTTGCTCTGAGAGCCGATCTCGATGCACTGTGTGCGATTATCTACCTTCACATTCGACTGTTTTCACTTGGCAGCCTGGAGCTGTCATCACTATCCAACATAGTCAGCCTTGAAGGCTGACATTCATCGACTGGAACGATGACATACCAACGATATCTGGCCCTCTTTGTCCGATGCATTTGTTCCCGGCTAGAAACCTGGACCTTTTCCTTTTCTTTCACCATGATGTCCAACTCGACGCTCCTTTTGTTCTCAATTAGCTTTGATTCTCTTTTGCTCCGCCAGGGCGAGCCATGATCAACTAATCGACTACGTTGATGGGTAACGTGATGCGGCATGGGATATGAACACCTACGAGCTCTGTATACTTGATTGATCATAGACGTGTTTTGGTGGGAAAAGTGATACACAGCTTGCATGGTATGGAGTTCGGCATTTCATGGCGCGTGCTTCACCTTCTGCTTTCTATCATTACATGCTTACACATTCTTTTTTGCATCTTTGTTCGTTGCCAGCGTTTTTATTTCGGGGTTTTTCATTCTATGTACAAGTACAATTATCTGGCCAGTCCAGTATAGATAGTCATCAAACACTCGTCCTACCTTAAAGCAGCATCAACGGTAACCAACCCTACAGATCCCTCGCAATCACCCTCTCCAAAAAATCAAACCCTTCCCTCTGCAGCTCCCAAGTCCTCGAACCCACCTGCATCCCCATCGCAAACGTATGATCCTCCCCTGGCACCTCCGTCATCCCACACTCCACCCCTTTCTCCCTCAGCCTCTCCAACAACACCCGACTAACCTCAATCGGAACCATCCGATCCGCCGCACCATGCACAATCCACGTCGGCGGGAATCCCTCCCTAACATTCTCCACCGGATCAATCGCCCCGAAATCCCCGCCATGGCCGGGATAGCACGCCTCAAGCACCCTCCCATCGGCAATCTGCGTGAACGCAAACGCATCCCGCGGCCGGCTGAAGTCCGGACCCTTGGATAGCCCTGCCTCGGACTGCCCCTCCAGACTGACGGCGCTGCTGGTGGGCACGGGTGTCTGCTCGTAGACTCTGTTGATGAAGGACTCGTCCAGCGGGGGGAGCTTTGCCCGGACGTGCGGGAGAGGCTGGGTCCAGAAGGGGTGGGCGAAGTGGACTGCGCCGTAGAAGGTGAGGATTGCGCGGGCGGGACGGGGGACGTCGAAGCCCTGCTTTTGTCAGGTCATTTTTTTCCCCCGATTTATTTT